ACAGGTTCCTTCATATCTGTAGAGCTTAGTTCACACTCAGATCAATTATAGTGGTTTCAATTTAATTTCCACTAAATTAGTTTAATTAATGATAAAATTTTGTCAGAACACACTATAAGAATATTTAGACACTGTCAGGATTAGATACCACTTCCACAAAAGTAAATAGCAAGACCACTCTGCTCCTGAAAGCAGCAGAAGACTAATTAATTTCTGAAATGTACAGTATACAAATGCTGAAAAATAAAATAACAGAGAACAAAAAAAAAATGTGATAAGGCATATGTTACCATATATGTAAAATTTTTCTTTAGAGCTGAAGGATTTTACAGTTGAAGGATTCTATAAAAGACTAAAATGATTATCCATTTTTAAAACCATCTAAAATATATCTAGAAAAAGGAGGTTTCATGCAGAAACCCCTAAAGAATTGCTCCATGGTCAGCAAATATAGCAATACACCAATATTAATATCTACTTGAAATCAACTTTCTCTGAATTCCTTTCACCACGACTCTCTAGTCTGTAAATCTTCATTCTGTTTTGACCGCTGTACAGAAACTGTGATTTGATATCTCATTCATAGCCCAGCTGTGCCTGAACTCTGTTTAGTGCAAAGCTTTGCAAAAAGGAAAAAAAATATCTTATTTGACCATGAACTTTAGATGATCTAGTTAGCGTTACTGTCAAGCGTCCCGCGGTCTTTTTGAAAAGCAGGACTTGTCCATGTTGCCCTCTGGCCAACTTCAGTGGGATTGAAGCACTAGCGAGAGCCATCAAACTGCCTGACAGCTTGTCACCAGTGAGACTCCATTAATTTACACACATTTTCCACTGTTTGGCATTTACCATGATAACTCTTTTCTTTCCAAGCAGCTCCTGTTTGCATTTAACACTCGGGTTAATTTTCATCAGAGTTTAAATTTAGCCATCAGTTATTTCAGGGGAGCTGTCAGCCAACATATGGAGGAAAAAAATCCTTCTGAATTTATAATAAAGTGGAATCTGTTGAATGTGAAACAAAAAGCAACTGCAATATACTGCAAGGCCCCGATGGGGGGACCAGGGTCAGCAAAGAATAGCAGAGTGGATTAGTTGTTCCATTCACCGGAGTGGCATCTGAGCACCTCAGGAGCTTCTTGATATATCAAAAAATGATGGAAAGACACAGTTCAATTTGTCCCCCTTTTATAAAGGATAATTAACCTGTCAGTCTTGCTACTTTAACAACTTCATTAAATTGGAGCAGAAATGGGTGCAGGGAGCCCCTGTCTTTTTCCAAAATGAGCACAGGGCACTTGTTTAAATGGTTGAATAGCCACCTTCTTCCATCTTCCTCCCCCCTAGAATAACATGATGTTATTTTATTATTTTTTTAAACTGGAATTGAATACCCTTCCTTAAAATATATAACTTAGCTGCATCTCATATGACCAAGACTAGGAATCACCTTAACTCCAAAGGATGAAAATAATCAGGCACACAAACAAGCTGCAATTAAAGATGGAGCTTGCAGGGTTGCTGTAACACTTCTAGCATACTGTGATGCTTCTCAAAGGTGAGATGACTTTCCCAGGTAAGGCAGGAGACAAACAAAACTCCCAGTTTCTTCTGAAGAAAATATAAACTTTACCATTTGTGTTTTGAACGGGGTTAAAAATGCTGTCTGTAAAGTCTTCAGGAAAGTTTATATTAAAATGAAACTTCAAATGAATGTATATACCTCTAGAAGACACATTTAGGATTTCAGAAATAATAGTCCTTATAAATAATTAACTTGATACAGACTAAATTATTGGTCACTCCAAAAAGCTTCATCTGGAACTTAAGTGTACCTATACTGCTATGCAAGGTATTTTTTATACACTCTAATATTTTCCTCTCCATAGAAATTGTATATGCACAAATGATTTAAAAATACCAGAGGGAAACTATGTCCCAGAATATCAGCTTTCATAATAACAAGAGTGAATATCATCATATACTACACTGAAATCCTGCATTTTATAAGTTGAACATTTTCTTGGTGATTGTTCAGAAGAGCCTTCTGGTATTACTTAGAACTCTACCCCAAAAAAACCCAACTCCCCTTGTGCCTAGCTTTCTGTAAAGAATCTCATCAGTTTTATGCAGAAAATAAACTTTATGTAACACGGCCAAACCTTTAGATGAAAAAGATTATATATATTCACTTATTGCAGGGGAGACTTGAGTGAGTCTGCATGTGAGAAATCCATTAGCTAATAATAAGCTGAAATTATAAATTAATCAACTTAAAATAACTATCTAGTGTCGTTCTTAGCTTTTGCTTCTTTGCTTGTTTGGTTTTAAATGTTGATATACATTCCACCCCATAAATAAAACTCCATGGTCAACAAGAATAGGATTTCAGCACCTTAAAAAACCAAAAGGAACATAATTGGAAGTTATTGCCACCACAAATTCCCTGTATGAATAACAAAACTTACTCTTGTTTGTATTAATTATTTTTATGGACTGTTTTGGTATCGTTTAATCATAAGTGACCTATTAATGAAATAATCAGGGGGATCACCCTATAATTCTGTATCTACAGACTCATAACTGCAGCTTCATTTTAATGCCATTTTTAGAACTGTATACAGGTTTGCATCCAAATTTAAAGTCAGTTTGAATTTAGTATTTTAATTTACATTTTAAAATTCAGGAACAGAGATTGAAGATATTAATGTGCCAGAGGAGATTAATGTGCCACTCTGGACTTGCATTTTAGCTAGATAAATATGCACAACCAGTTTGCCACACACATGAATAAAAACATAAAGATAAGTTAAAAATAGCATATTAATATTCTCAGTCTTATGAAACAAACTAAATTCTTATCAGTCTGAAGTTGTGGTAAGTGTTCATCCACACAACAATATGAGAAAGTTCTTTGAACTTTGAATAATGGAGAAGCCTAATTTTCTATTATTTACTGAACTCTATTCCTTAGCAAAAAGGCAACTGCATACTGATAAACTCAAGATTGAATTTAAACATTGCAATGTCAGGAATCTATTTCACAAAACACATGCTCAATGTACACTTTTAATTCTATGCTTGATATTCAGAACTTTACAAATTGGTAAAAGGCTAAAATTTTCCTTTGGTCATTTCTTATCTTTTCTGGTTTTATTTGTAACATTTAAAGAAGATATCTCATGAACTTACAGCTTTTGTTATACAGATAAAAGATGTGCAGCTCCAAATTTAACATAGTAATTGATTTGGCATACTTTGCATCATTCCAACACAGACCACTGTCTACCTGCATTTGTAAATACAAATTAAAAGCTTGATAGGATCTTCCACAGCGTTACTGTGAGAGTCAGAGTGAAATTCAAAATGGCAACTGCTCTTGCCACTGGTGGTTTTCCAGCTTGTACAGTGCCTCAAAAATTGGGGTTGCAGACATGGAATGTCAGTATTTCACCAGAACACTGACATCCCACTTTTTTATACAACTTGGCATGTTTGTTAGCTTTTTCTTTTAAAGAAAAGCCCAAGGGCCAGAAAGGGAGGAAGAATCCTGCACTCTGTTAGATATGTAAGCAGGGAGAGCAGGAGAGGCATAGCAGCCAGGAAAGAAAATGACTCAAATTCCTTGTGAAATAATGTTAGAAGATAGAAATGTTATGAAGGCAGCAGAAGGGAAAAGCTATCAGTCAAGGCTTATTGGACATCCACTAAAAGTAAAAGAGTACAGCAGGTGTAAAGTTTAAGAAACAATTACATAGATCTTGCTCTGTATTTGAAGCATAGGGGAGAGCCTAGTGGTAAGGTTTCCGTAATTAAAATGCAGCAATTTGTTGCCTAATTAATAAAAAAAGTACGGATATGTATGAATATATGGAGGTATGTGTGTACACTTGCATATAAATCTCTCTTTATATAAATAACACTATTTCCCTTCCATTCTCCAATCCTCTTTCTCTCTTTACCTGCTGATTTTTGATGATTTCAGGTGCCTTATGCTATTTTTTTATATCATATTCTCATGCAATTACCCTTGTAGTTTAAATTTTAACCTCCTTTAAAAGATATCCTATAAGAAAATCCTCATAGAGATGTAATTTAGTAATGTGAGGTATTTTAGCCTTCAGTAAACAAAGCACTTATGATGGTCTAAAATAGGGGAATAAGGGTTAATATGATTAATAATAGGAAAGCAAGAAAGCCCAAGTAGCTGTGAATAGAAAACATACTTTTATACCAGAATGGATGTTCATATTTAACAAAACGCTTAAATTTGCTCAGACTTAATCATGGGTCAGCTGTTTAATAGCTGCAGTATCTTTATAAACAACTGAAAAAATTGTCTTTAATCGTCATATTTGCAATTGGTTTGTTCCAATCTTGAAATAAGAAATGCAATTAAAAGAGAATGAAAAAAATACCACTTGCAGTCTCATATTTTGAATGGGGATTAAGATTCACTAACAGTTGTCATATAACTGTATAAATATGACACCATATTAACATGAGGGTGATTTGGAGTTGCATTAACATCAGAACTATAGGTCATGTCAGTTCTGGGTCAAAGTTGAAAAATCTTAGTTGATTTTTTTTCTAACTGTGGTTTCCATGTCACTCTTACTCCAGCATTTTACACAGCAAGATAAAAAAACATTAGGAGCACTTAATACAGTGAGGCTTACAGAACAGGATCTGGAATCACATCAGGGATTTGGCTATCATTCCTTCTCTGGAGAGAGGGGAAAAAAAAAAATTTATTCTCTCCTGACCTGGAAGCAGCCAGATTGTTCCAGTGGGTTTATAAGGTTTTGGTCCAGAGAAAAATTACTGGTTAATCTCAGTGAATACAGCAGTGTGGGTGTACTTGGTACCATTTCATCCTACGTTGCATGAAAGTTTATCATAAAGCAAATACTAACCAATATGATCCGACCAGATCTTCAATTTAAATGACTTAATTCTAGTGAAATGCCAGGTTCAAATATGCATGCATTTTCTTTCAGAGTCCTTCCGCACTCAGGCTGCAAGTTTCCAAGCTCCCTCCCAAAACAAGTTGCATCGGACAAACTATCCAGCAGAAACTCAGTCAAGTGTGATTGAGTTACAAACCAGTTAAGTTCAATATACAAAACTGAAGAGTTACTCAAGACCTAAAAAACTATCAAATCCATCCTTCTGCCATCACAACGCCAAAGTTAAAAATGTTTGCTCCTGAATGGCTTTAAGAGAGGAATTACATGATTTCCACCACTTCACTTTTGCATACTTACACTAAGCTTTCTCCCTCTTAATTGTTCCCTGTAGTATTTACACCAGCTTTATCACGCTAGCAGGCTTTAATCCCTTTTTCTTTCTTTGACTTTGGTTGCTGTTTGTGGCTTCTTCTTGAAAGGAATCAATAGGATGAGACCAGTGATGTTTGACTTAGACTAGTCAAGGTTTGAGAAATGTGTAATCCTGGAAGAGATTGCAGGGGAGGGAAGAAGTAGGATGGTCTGAATTCAAAAGAAACACTGGTTCACCAAGTGCCAGGACAGACTACCAGATGGTCTTCAAAATATACCCTGGATTGGTTTTTGAATAAGATGTGATCCTCCATTATCTGAGAAGTTTTATCAAGTCATTCTCAGTTTTATTTGTAGGCAAACATATACATTGCATTTTTTCTCCATTGCTGTTTCTCTGTTTATTCTTCATCCACAAGCATAATTACTTGAAAGTCATCAAAAAAGTTGTATATATTATAGGTAAAGCACCCCAAGGACACCAGAATAAAAGAAAAAAATTGAATTTAGAGTAGTTGGTAAGTAAGATGCATTTGCACATAAGAAAAGAAGGTGTAACAGCCTATCTGTAGGCTTTGCTTTGCTCAGGCAGCTTTGAGTCTGCTTGGAGAGTGCACCAAAACAAACACGTGAGAATTCGAGAGAGTTGACGACTCCCGTTGTTTAGAAAAAGCACTATGAGCATTTTTGTAACAGTTCTTTGACTTGATATTTTTCCGGTGCAAAGGACAAATATTTGATCAGATCATGGTCTTCTGACCCTCTTACTTTTAATTGGCATAGAGTAATTAGAGCTAATTATTTGGTAACTGTCAGATTTTTGTCCTCTGTAGCATGAAGTCCTGTTGTGATGAGCATGTGATAACTGACAAAAAATAATCATCTGCTATCAAGCCTGAGGTTCTGCAGCTGCAAAAAAGAGCAGCCTCATGAAATGAGCAGTCCCATAAAATGTCAGTGATGCTACTCACTGGAGAAAGATTGCAGCATCACAACCTTACACAGCCATCTAAAGCAATAATGTGATGCTATAACAAAGCAAAGCAGACAGTATAGATGGGAATGACAACCCCAGTATAAATCCAAACCCTCACTTCCAAGCATAAAACTGACTTTCTCATTGATCCTATTTTTGAACACATCAGTGTTTGCTTTTATTATTTTGTGGATGTATACACATGTAGTGTGTACAGCACCTTTGCTGGTACGCTCTACAGAAAGGTCATTTATATTTTAAACTACTAATTTTTCCATTTCAATGCTTTTTCAGTGTTTGGGACTTTTACTTTAAGCAACATCTATCCACAGATTCCAGTTTTTACTTTATTAAACTTACTCTGGCAGTTGCAGTCTATCAGCTATAGTTAAGGAAAAGTAATTTTATAATTGACATATTAAATCCCAACTACAGTGCAAATAAAACCCCTCCTTTCATAAAATAGTTTTAAATGACAGATTAAAATTATTATTTATTAAAAGTGCCACTTACAACTGTGATTTATTGTACAAATAAAAATAATAAAAAAGCAACTGTATATTTATGCAGACAAAAGCATTTATATCCCAAACTGCAGTTGAGATTTAACTAGTATTTCAGTGGCTGATGTATCTGCATGCATGTAATATTGGTCCTTTTGTCAGAAGGCTGGTCAAGGGAAACAAAAAGCTTTATTTTCCAGCTAACCAAAATAAACAATTCCCCTCAAATATAGTTTTTCTCAACTCTGCATCCCAATTCAGGATAGGCAAAATAAACACTTGTAACAGTTCACTCAGCACTTAGCAGAGTGGCTGCAGGGGCGAAAGGAGATGAGACAAATAAAAGAACCACATGGTCACTGACAAGACTGGAAAGGTAATGATGACTTTTTGTCTTACCCACTGGTCATGTAAGTAGAAAGAGACCACCATTCACTTCTCTTCCATAGAAGCCCATCACCTTCACTGACCTCCAGAATGAGCCCTTCTGTTTCCTGTCCAGAAAATATGCAAGTTTTCGATGTTAAATAAGCAAATTTTGATGGGAAAGAAGCAAGGACCCATCCTAGATCTGTCCAGGACCCACTGACTATAAACCTATAAAAGGCCTGTTATCCTGCTTCACTGACTTGAAAGTGGAGGAGAGGAAGATTCGTATGGGGCCTGACCTGCACGGCGCCGTCAAGATGATCCTACTACTGACAAAATTCAGGGTCAATCTTTCATGAGAATGAACTCTGGATCTGTATTTAAACATGGAGAAACAGCTGATTTGCCTTTGTTTGGCTCTTTCTAGGGGTCCTCCACTGATGGTCAGAAGGCAGTGTATGACTTAACTGCTGATGGGAGTGTCTGGTCAACTCTCCTTCACAGAATGAAGTTAGCCATGCTAAACAATAAGAAATTAAAGTTTTCAGCCTTGGTGCTTTGCTTGTAGCCACTTCCACTAATACATGCTCAGGATGAGGAATGTATGTCATTAGTTCAATGGTCAGTGTTACCTCACAATGTACATTTTCAGAAACTTTTGAATTGCAGTGCTCAGACTCACCAAAAAGTATTTTAACCCTTATCATCTGCTTTTCTAAAGGCTATATCAAACCTATCATGTTGCTTTACTTTTGGTTTATCTAGGTTTAGACAGGTGAAGGAACTCCTGAGCAGATATCAAAACATGTTCAAGCTACCTGATGAAGTGAAGCACACTGCTGTGCTAGGTCCTTTGCATACATAAAGTACTGTATGCTTTTGAGGCAGGGAATATCTAAGTGGGTACTGAATATTTTTACCCCAATTTATAAGCAAAAAAAAAAAATTATCAACCTGATATAGGGACAGAAGTTGAACCAATCTCTTCCCCAGTGTACACCACATAGCTTCAAAGTGTTATTTCTTACTTACAAATAATTAATAATCTCTGTCGTTTGAATAAAGCCCATCTCTTAGCTCCTCTTAGGAGGATGCTCGATGCTCAAAGCTATTTTCAGATAATTCAGGATATATTTCTATTTCCCAACACATTATGAAATTGGAAATCTATGTATGCTTTCGAGAGGATAAAATCAAGCAACTCTAGATAGCTCTCCTGGGAATTACAGAGGCAGTAATTCAGATACAAAGACTCTTCTAATTCCTGTGTCCCTATGGTGTTCAACAGATCAGCCCCTGTGAAGTGTTCTCCTTCTCAGAGAGCCCTCTGGTCTGGTTTGAGAAAACTGCAGTAAAAATGGATGGCAGAGTAATGCATCTCCTATTAATCAACAGATCAAATATGTTTAATTTCTTTGCAAAACAAAGTCTGTGACACCTGTAATTTTTTTTTTTTTTGCAACAAAGAGTTAACAATTCAGTCTCGAGTCTCTCCACTGCGTTTCTTGTATAGGAGTTAATACAAGGCAGGCAATTTACAAAAAGATTGCAATAACTTATTCCCTTGCTATTACACTTGTAAGCACTACAAGGCAATACATATTTGACGTATTTGTATTTCATTACATCAAATTTCTCTCTTCAGCAGCTGGTATGTGGATATTTATGCTGTGCACTGATCTTTTAACTGTGAATGCATCTAAATATAAAGAGTTGAATAAATTTTAATAGTATTCATAACTCTGTGTACACACACAGTTACAGTTAACTGTGTGTGCACAGTTAAAATTATTAATACTATTAAAATTTATTCAACTCTTTATATTTAGATGCAAGCCTATTAAAAATCTACTCCTGACACACGAAAGCTGTGCTCCAGGTAACCTGATGCTTCATATTTTCCCATATTGCTGCTGTCTCCATTTGCTGACAGAAGTAATCTACACACGATAGATTAAGTCACATATTTCAGTAACCGCCTCTGTCTTTCTGAGTGTGAGACCCACTATGCCTGTGTATGGGGAGGCTCCGGGAAAGGCACCTGTGGTGAGGAATGAATATTCTAATGGTTCTGAACCTTTTGGTGAAGGTGAAGGGGGCTTGTTGAAAACATTGCTGTGAGCAGATGGACCCCTGAAACCATCTGCTATCGAAGCAACTAAATGTTCAATGATGCATTACGAAATTATTTAGCTCTCAAAGAGCCTGAAAGTAGTTAGTAATGATGGCATCTGTACTGAGAGCAAACAACCTATTTATATATGATCTATCACTTCATAAACCGTTTGGAGACCATCTTTCCTTAAAGCAGCAGTAGCCTTGTCGACTCCCAGAATAAAATACTGAGTTGCGTGCGTGAACTTGTAAAATCCCAGCTAGTTCATTTTTTCTTCTTGTAAGAGTATGCTTTTTGCTGGGGTGTGCTGCAATGCAAGCTTTCTTTTGGATAAAAAGGGTTGCACTGTGCACTAGAGCTACTGTCTGTAACAGTGCACAGGCGTAGCAAATGCCAAAAGAAAAAGAAAGTGTAAAGTTTTTAATTAGTCTTAACCAAATAAGGATCCTTTTTCTTTAGTTTGAAAAAAATCACCCCATTTAGTTGTATCGGTAACGGAAGAGGCATGTAGGGATCAAGGCTTCGAAATATGAGTTCATTCCTGCTCTGCTTGGATGATTCTTGTACATTATATAGTTACCATGGGAACTGTTAAAACTTGTTTGGATTTAGTTATGTTCCATGTATTCAACAATTACTAAATAGATTAAGTATATATAAGTATGTATAGGTATATATATGTGTATATATATAAGTATATATACAAAAATATATTTAAATAAATAATGCAATATACATTGTATTATAGATGGTTTTGTACCTGAAAAACTCTGTATTTTTAATTATTACTTTTCTTCACATATTCATACAAATAATGAGCTTTAGATGAATACTTACTCCAACATAAGTGATATTACATTATTTCCT